AGTATCTGTCCGTCAATTTTACAAAACAAAGTAGCGCGCGATTCGTCATACACGCGCCCCGAGCGAATTCCGGATTTTCGATATGCATCCAAACGCATGAATTCGCGCCTACGCATAAGCGTACTGTAACCGAATAGTTTTTTCGCCCTCCCCGTCAGGAACCGCGCGTCACGCGGCTCAATTAGTGCGCCCAACTTGAAAAATTCAGTCTCGTTTGACGTACTTAGGTCCGGCTTCACCAACGTTGCTGAACTTTAAGCTTAGCTTAATTCGTTCTTTGTCTCTTTCTAACTGTTACTCTAGAAAGAGACACACATGAATTAAACCAAGATTAAAATTAAGCGGCGCTTGGTGAAACCGGGCCTTAGGCGTAAGTTAGGCTCGGTTTCACTTGCACTAGTGCGCAATGAGTGCACACTAAGGCTTGTTTACAGTCAATTCCTATACTTAAGGATCGTCTTAAATACGTTTCAAAATACTTCTTAGCCAGCAAAATGATCTGTATAGCATTTGTACGGGTTATCTTTTTGGCTAAATAGTTTTTGGACGCGTACTTGAGATGACCATAAATATAAAAGTAGACTGAGCAAGCCTTGCTGTGCACTCGGTGCACCCTCAGAAAGGATTTCTGTTACCGAGACAAAAATATTCGTGGCGCATTTATATTTCTCACAACCTCATTTAGTATAAAAATAAGACGATATCAAAATAAAATCACCACTTCTTATTCTGTATCGAATTAAAAAAGATTGACTTACTATATTGAGACAAGAGTAACTTTATACATTCTTGGGTTTAGAATAAATTTTTCCCTCCATCTTACAACGCACGAAGTTGGCGCCACGATATTCGTCAAAAGACGATTCTAGATTTTACAATTTAATAAATATGATTGGCGCTATATCGATCCTATTTTATGATACATTGAGGCGCATTGGATCCGAAAATTTTTTCTGCGGGTGTACGCACTAGTGCAAGCTGCCAAATTCGCTCTTAGTTTCATTTGTTCTTTGTCTCGTTCCAACCGTTACTTCAGAAAGGGACAAACATGAATCAAGATTAAAGTTAAGCGACGTTTGGCGAGACCGGGCCTTAATAACGCAACACTGGATGTCCCAGATGTATTATATACACAAGTTACGATTACGCGCCCCTATTGAGCCGTGCAGTTGCGTATCTTTGCAATTACGCCCATAGATTTTTAGAAATCCGCACGCGTTTTCGGAACGGATCTTTTCTCGGCGCGAGGATTTCCACGCGCAATGATAACGGCGTTTAAAAATTACCGATGGAATTGCATGGTGATGCGTCGAGTCGGTAGAATTCCCGTCGTTGGCGCGGGAACGCGACTTCTATCAGGCGGGTTCGAGGCTTTCGTCGGCTTTACTTATCTCGGCTACATCCCGCGAGCGGATTTCTTCGGGAACGAGAGCTCGCCGAAATCGCGGCCGCGCGCGCGCGCGTGCAACTGCAGTGGTAATGATAAAGCGGATTCAGTCGCGACTTCGGAAGTGCAGGGAGGTAGAGAGCGAGTGGGAGGGAAAAGCCTCGTTTTACGGTGCATTAAATTCTGACGAAGTGGCTCGTCCTATATACCGGTGCGGGGGGAGGGAGGGGGCGATCCGAATTATCCTGGAACAGATAAACAGACCGCCGACGCGAAATAGGACGGAGGAAACCTCGGGGAGGGTAGGAAAGGGTAAATAGGACGGAGCGACATTTCTAAGGAGGTCGCAGCGATGTTTCGCGACCGAGAGGAGGGCGCGAGGGAAACAGTAAGAAAGTATGATGGAAGTACTTTGGGATTTTCGAGGGGGAAGGGGGGGGGAGATGAAATCTAGGGGATGCGTCAGTCGAGCGTGAAAACCTCGATGGCGGGCTGTCCCGGGGAAGCTCCGCGAAGGAGTTTCCTCCAGCTTTTTACGCGTTCCATAAAGAACCTGTCGTCGCCGTTGCCGAGTCGCCCGTTTTTTCTCGCCGATAGTTGAACCGCTCGTAATGGTATCCTTCGTTCGATCGCGATTGTCGGGATTTATTTGTCGCAATTATTCCGCGATAAGCGATCGTCCGTTCAAGAAGCAGTTCCGAGGATAACGAAATCGAGTCGCTTCCTTTCTCAGAGAGAGAAAGAGAAAGAGAGGATCACGGATGCAGTTTTGCATGCGATTTCCCAGAATTGTAATCGCGTTATCATTTACATATAAATCGGATGCGTAAGCTATTCAGAAAAATAATCGGCGTCAACCCGAGTCGAAATTTGGCCGAAATTGTTATGTTGAATCTTTAATTCTATTATACAGTAGGACCTAAGACAGTAAAAGAGGTCGAACTGCTAGTACAAAATTGACTCCTACTTTAAAACTGATAGTGTCGAAAATTTCTACTTTTGCCAATTTAGCATTAAAGTAGGTCCTTTTAAGTAGAAGCTAAAGTAAATTTTTAGAATTGAAGATTCAAGGGAGGAGGAAATATGTGATCAAAGTAGGTTCCATTTTGTCCTATGTTGAACCTTTAATTCTATTATATATTATAGTAGGACTTAAGACAGTAAAAGACGTCGAACTGCAAGTACAAAATTTACTCCTACTTTAAAACCGATAGTGTCGAAAATTTCTACTTTTGCCAATTAAAGTAGGTCCTTTTAGGTAGGGGCTAAAGTAAATTTTTAGAATTAAAGATTCAAGGAAGAAGTAAGAAAATACAATGTCATCAAAGTAGGTTATCGCTGGTCTATGTAGATGTATAGATCAGCTAAGTGAATGTAAATTACCCTTAAAAGTATCAAAATAGCACCAAAATTTCGACTCGGGAAAGAGGTTGATTTTTTTTCGAATCCAATTCGTGCCTTCCGCGAAGGACTCGGCCCATTGAATTTTCGCGGCCCTCCGGCGCCGCGCGTTTCGATCCGCGAGGTCGGCGTTCGTAACCGGTGCCGTAATCAACCGTGTTTATCGTATCCGCTTTCGGTTGCACGCTCAGGGCTGTCCCGCGAAAAATTCGCGCGAGACCCGTGGCCGAATGCTCCCAGCCGGGCGCCGGGGAGGAAATATCGTCCGACAGCTAAACTAATTACAAGCCAACGTATTACGAGCGCTTACGTGGGCGCGCTACGGCGAGACGCCTGTAATAACGAATTACAACACGACGATGTTCGTCCCTTGGCTTTCATCGTGCGGCGGAACTCCGTTACAAGCCCCGGGTCCGCATCCTCGCGCGCGCGCGCGCGTTCACGTACGCGCCGCGCGATAATTAATTCCCCATTAAACGCGGAGCGCGGTTGCACGGTAACTTAACACGCGCGCCGTCGTGTACCGTCGGGCGCCCGGCAAAAGCCGCCTGTGATGCTGGGTTATTAACGAGCGCGCCTGGGCGTCGTGGACCGTATCTCGCCGCGAGTCACGTATCCGCGATCCCTTATCGGCCGCTCCGATAACGAACAACGCGCTCGACGGGGGCCTCGCGTCCCCCTTATCGCGGGTCACGTATCGCGATTATCTGTCACGAGTCGCGCGCGTTTTGTCACGGCTCGCGCCGAGTACACGAGCTACCGAACGACGCAGCGATACGATGAACTCCCTCTCTCTCTCTCTCTCTCTCTCTCTCTCTCTCTCTTTCCTCCGTCGAGAGAAATGGATATAGTCCTGCAATTCGGCTCTCCGAACTTTTCTTTCTGGCGTGAATCGTTTATCTCCGTATGGCAGACGCAGCCGTTCCCCTAATCGGCAAAAAATTGCGGAACACGCCGTGCCAATAAATCTGATTTCTATCGAAGGTACCGCCCGCGCGCGCGACTTTGTTCGCGCGAGCCGGCCAAGATTTATCGGCCCCCGTTTTTATCACGCGCCGGGGTCTTGAATAAAAATGTCGCTGTAAATACCAAGTGACGACGAGAGTGCGCGTTAGGCTGGCGAGTGTATCGCGACGGGCGACGTAGGGAACGGAACGCCGCTGCTGGAGAACGCGGCCCGGGAATTCGAAATCGCATTTCCGAGATGATCGAGCGGCTAATAAACGCCCCCCCCCCCCTCCCTCTCCGTAACACAACGTAATTGCGCTTCGCGACGCAGGAGCGATTGCAACGCAAACGCGAATGAGCGATACGATTCCCGTCTTTTCGTCGCGGCGCTGAAATTAACGTCGGCGGGGAAATTCGTTGCCTTTACGGCGAGCGCGCGAGATCGCTGATTACGCGCGCGTCGCCGCGGCGCGCGGCCCGCTATACGTCTTCGTGCGAATTAATGCGGCCAGCGCGCCACGCGTGTGTATAAATTTCTGACGCGTAAAGTGTTTTGTCGCCGCGGCGACGACGGCCCGACATAGTGCGCGCGTTAATTACTTTTGCTTTACGGCCGGCGGACGAGGGAGGGAAGGAAAAAAAAGGGGCGAAATCTCTCTCCGGGAAAAGTGGCGGCGTCGCGAATTACTCCCGTCTGAAGAATCATCGCGATGCAGATTGCCTGTGTCGTTTCGCGTTTACTTTTCCAAGAGCTTTAGCAGCTCCGCCGCGGACGCCCGCGGGGCTTTTACGCCTCGGGACATCCCGTGCAATTCTTATTTGTTCGTCGAGTATCGCGACAGATCTCTATTCTATCGTCCAACATTCGCATTGGAAGTTGAGCGTGTCGCGCTTTCGAGCCGCTGACGCTACGGCGTAAGACAACGATTATTTTTATTAACCGACGCGACACTCGGAATCGGCCCAGGTCGGACGAAATTGTCTCCCCGTAGCGCCCGGTCTGTCCGATCATTTCCCGACGATCCGCGCGCGCTCGAGGATCCAAAAGAATCGATGACCTTGCAATTTAGATCGCGCCGCCTCCGAGAATCATTGATCCAGGCGCCCGCGGATGCGAGGGATCCGAGGGCCACGCGTGAACTCGTCGAGCTCCGCCATCTCGAGGTCTCCCAAGCCGATCCTTGGGAGAGCCTCACGTCGATCATCAAGCCCCCCGGAACACCTCCCGTCGTAATGGCTCCCTCGAGCATGTTTCTTTCGGCAGATCGCCTGCGCCGCACGGGAAGAGCTTCCCGTAACTACACCATCGGCTGGGCCACGCACTGATGATGATCGCCACGACGACGGCAACGACGACGACGACGACGACGACGACGACGACGATGATGACGACAATGATAGCGCTGATAAACGCGTCGCGCTGCCTCCGCACGCGTACTCACACACGCGCATACACGTGATTACGCGGCGTCGAGCCTCCGTACTCGCGGGATCCTCTCCTCTCTGAAATCGCATCAATCGAGAGGTGATTCGATACGAACGCGCGGAGGCAAGGCCGGAAGCTCCGCATGACAAATGGATACGTGGACGTCTCTCGGTTTTGTTGTTCTAAATAAATATATAGGCATATACGCGCATACATTTATATATGAATATGTATTCCTGCATCACATACAGAGCTATGCCGCGCGAAAGATACTCCAATGACGCGTCGTGATGTAATAAATTTAGGCCGTCGGGTGAACGTATTGATAATGTTAATCGATAATATATGTATAAACACGTTGCGTATAATAATAATTGTTAAGTCGTCGAGGATAAGTTTTACCGAGGGAATGATAAGGGGAGCGAACGCGCGGGTGGAGCCGAAGGGACAACCTTTTTGATATGATACACGCGCCGTTCGCTTTAAAAGTAAAAAAAAAACGGCCGCTTATCGGATTATTTAAATATTTATACGACGGAAGGGAGGAGTTGTTTAATTAACTCGACCAAACTTTCGACCGAGTGTGACTGGGCGATCGGGTCCAAACCGTTCTGTGTTCTCTGCTGTGTTCAGCTCTTTTCTTTCTTCTTACGTCACGGTCCTTCTATTTCCTTGATCGCTGCCGCTTGACAGACCGACTCGTCGTTTCTTAAGCGGAATAAACGAACGGCTACGTCCGGAAGATCTCATGCGCTCGCTGTGGCTGAGGTAAGTATCGGAAAATTGATCGATATAAAGATTAGAAGGCGGAATCCCTCGGAAGAGAATCGAGACAATCGAGTGTAAAGTAACAAGAATCGATCTTATTGCTTCTGTCTCAACTTTTTATATCCTTTAACTGTCGTTACAATATTTCCTTTAAACGTTATTGGTCACTCAAGTGGCGATTGTTAACGATATCAATAATTGAGCGCAATGTGTCGTAGCAATGTCAAATCCATCGTTCGGTTGCAAACGCGAATTTTTCATTAGGCGCAAATCAAGAACGATACCACCAACCCGATCGTTCCGCTCGGCAAATAGTGTCACTGTAATATTTCTCTCCTTAAGGTACTAACTCGTCGTTTAAATTAATAATAAATTAATAATCTTAGCATATACAATGTATACAATCAATCTGTACATATTGTCTTCAATGTCGTTTCTAATCGATCGATGTGACCTACGTGTTGTAACAAGAGAGAATGGATTTGTTATAAGCGCGCGCGAGAGAGAAAGAGAGAACGAGAGTGGCATAATTGTCTCTGTGTGCGTGCAGGTGCGAATGAGAGGGAGAGAAAGGGAATACGTGGGCGAAGATAATTATGCGGAGAAGCCTTATTCGTGTAAATCACACCCGATTGTCACCCCGTCGTACCTACGTGTCGTATGTGTCCGGGGCAACTGGATCCACGAAGATGCGCAGATCAAAAGTACCGTCGCGCCGCTCGACAGCCGTAGAAAAAGATTCTATACGTCACGATCAATCTGAATTGTCGCAATTAATTTCAGATTGCAATTGAAATAACCCAGACTCTTTTCTCGCACTTGGGACGCGCGTGCCGACTTGTCAGCTCCACCGAGTCCTACACCGATAAAAAAAATATCTTAATCCAAAAAGATATTACTTTACTCAAGAAAATTATTCGTTAGGCGGCTCCTAATAGCTTATTAACTTAAATTTAAAAAGTAATAAACAAATTAAAACATGCACTGCTTTAATGTAAGTATTTATTAAATATCAAAGAATAGATCATTTTAAATTAAAAAAAAAACTTTATTTCAATTGTATAAAATGTTTACTAAGACGTAATTTTCACAGCGAAGAAAATTGGATTTCTTATTTAACAAAAACAATTATTTCATTTGATAAATAGTATTCTGTATCTCACGAAATCTTTATTTAAATGTAGAAAATGTAATGATTTAAATTATTTTACTCAATATAATGCATAGATTTACGTGACATTTGATATTTTTCTTTAAACAGAATAAATATTTACTTCAGTACACAGAAGTAATTTTAAGTAAATCGATTTACTTAGTTTGAAACATTTTTTTTGTCAGTGTAGAATCTCCGAGTTTGCCCACTCGGGATTCTCTCGCGTGCTACACTTAAACTACGCGCAAGGTTCTTCTTGGTAAGCGCAGGTGGATCACGGCGGTGACAAGGAGGGAAAAGAAATATCGATAACGAAAGAATATTGTAATTTGGTTCGCTCGTGGCCTTCCGGCGATCTTTTATTGTAAACGTGTTATTTCGCATATGTACTCTGTCACACGCGTCGCATTACGTTACACGTACAACACACGAAACCCAAATGCACGCGCACGATCAAAGCCTTGCTGCTAGCCTTAACTTGTAACACGAGGTTTAAAAATAAACTGCTGAAAAAAACGTATGCACCGTGTCTGTGTCTCGCATCCTGAAAACCCGTAAAGTCCACAATGCAACGGAATCGAGCAGGGATACGAAATCACAACGTCCAAGCCTTCGTTTACGCGAGCGCCTGGAACGGTATCGATATCGTTCCGCGTCGAGACTACGATCGACGGACAGTCTCTGTATCGCTATGTATAATAAAATCGTGCGAGACGTGAGGTGAACGAAATAATGCAAGACTTACCTCTCGCGTGCCGGCGCACATTCCGCCGTACATATTTACCCTCCGCCCCATCCGGGTCAACGTGGACTGTTGAATAAACGCCTCCCGACCTCTCTGTGTCTTGTATTTAGGTATTCTTTATTCTTTGTAAAATCATACAGCGAAAGCGATCGGATCTACACAGTGTAGTGAAGCGAGATACAAGTGAAGTGAACGTTCGCCGGACGAACGACGGCCGAGTCGGATTTCTGAGAAGCTACAGCGTCCCCCGCCTCGAGCGATCTATTGTCCCGGGGGGGCTGACGCTCTATTCTGAAGCGAGAAAGGTAATTTAGAACACTCTATCGTTACACCGTAATTAATGAATCGGAACAGTATTTCAAGTCTCAGAGATATTGAAACGTTTAATCGATCATCCTTCCGTAATCCTGCGTGATTTTTGAAACGATGGTTTCCTCGGGACCTTTCGATCCCCGGACAGAAAGGGTTGACGCGCCGCCGATTCGCCCGCAAACTCGAAGGTACATACGCTCTCCTCGAGACTCTTCCCTTTGCAAATTTGATTGGCCCGAAACAGCGCAAAGGTGCCTTTCCCGTAATAAATCGTTCGCTGTAAAAGCGCCGGCCTCTCCGCGGGGACGAGCGCGCGTGACTTAGAAACTTAGCAACTAACTCTGACGAAATACAATGCAAACGTACGTATACCTAACGTCCTAATAAAAACTAGAAATCCTCTCGTGATTAATTATCCAAAATATATGTTACCTAAAGTTACCGTCAGGCTGGTGACGGACCGGTGACGATGGTGGGCAATCAAATGTCCAGCGATGACAATTCATGATTCGTGTGATGAAACAAATGCCTTTTATACAAATAGCTCTGTGGTACATAAAATTTGATTTCCCCTACTACAGTATAAGGTATATATAATATACATATATTTATATCATGTACTTTTGTAATAGCTAATAAATAATAATTCTTAATAGTTCGTCAGTTAATTTCTGTGAAACCCGCCTATCCGGCGCTTAAAATACGAAATCGCTTACACTTTATATTTATATTTATTTATTTATTTATATATATATACGCTCTTCGCACTCGGAATTTTAAAAACCACGATCTCTGCCCTGCGACCTCCCTCTCTTACGTCACTTTACGTACTCTATACTCTTACATATTAATGATTTACCGTAATGGTATGTGGCGTGCTTAAGTTACTGGTTGCACTTACCGGTATCACCTGCCGCCAGCCGGGGCGGGAGAGCAGGGGGTGTCGCGCTCCCCCCCGGCGGCCGTAACTTTAAAAAGCTTAAAAACCCCGTACTTAGGCTAACGCGTACGTTAACGTCGCGGCGCGACGCGCCGCGCTTCATCGAGCCTGCTCTAAAAAAAGCGCGCTTGCCGCCCTCGGCTACGCGCGTAAATGCAATCAGTAGCGTATCCTCTAGCGAGTCCGCGAAACCGCCGATGCCTCGGATCCTCAGGCCGCGAGTCCCCAGGGCAGCCTCGGCCCCGCTTCGCCCTCGGGAGCCTGCGGGGACGCCCGGCACCCGGGGAGCCGCTTCTGAAAGCCTCGGGATCCTAAGGATCGTCGAGTCCTCACAGATAATCGGATACGAGTGCGAAACATGTTTACAACATGCGGCCCGAAATGATCGTGCGACGACGAGGACAGAGGGAACGTCTGCCTTCGTGAGAGACTCCTAAATGCGCGCGCGCGTGTGTGGATGTGTGTGTGTGTTGTACGTGTGTACAGGAAAACGCGAAACGTCGGTGCTGGGCGTTCGCGATCGCCAGTGTTTTCGCGGAATGGGACAGCGAAGGAGTAACAATAGGGGCGATATTTAAAAAAAAAACGACAGCAGGGACTGTGATCGATGCCGCGATTAACGTTCGTTGATCTGCCCAACGAAACGTTTCTGGGGCTGGAATGTGTGTGAGTACCTTGGGGATTTTGATCTTAAACAAACGCCGAGATCCGAGCACCTGCAGACCTGTTATGGACGTCACTTTTGTCCCTCGCGTTTATAGTCCGATCGTCGCGCCCTTTTGAGATCTGGGCGGTCGCGAGTCGGGGATCCTCAGGTATTCGGATATCCGGCGAACGGTCCACGCAACTGTCTATCTACCTCTACGAGGATCACGGCTCTGGTCCTATTCGTAATCCTACAGTTAACAAACTACTCGTAAGGATAGTTAAACTTAGCTGCATTTATTCGCCGTGGCTTCGCGGTCTGCGAATTGGAAACGGAAATTGTTAAATGCACTTTCCCGCAATTTTTGCCCTCTCTATTTTCGCGGGGTCAGTCGGCCGCTGTCCGCGAAATCCAGGATGTGGAGAAATTAATCAAATTCCACGCTGCGAAAATACTACGCGACATCTGTAAATGACATCACAAGCAAGATCGGTAAGGATTTTTTGGTGGGACGATGTGGAAACGCTATTTTTGCACGCGATAACATCGATTTGTGAAAAGACAATTTGTCCGATTCGTCGTGGACGGCGGTCGATTGTTGCGCTCAACGACTTCTAGCCCTTCCGCAACGTTAATAACAACACCGGCGGCGTGTGTGCATCTTTTTCCCGTACGACGTTCTCTCCCTTTGCTCTTTGAGCGTGAAGTTTTTCAAGTTCTCGCGTGGCAGTCCGTTTGATCTCACCTCCCGCGTACCGACTCGAACATCCCCCTTCGACTTATGGCAGCCCCGAACCCAGCTCACTCGCTGTCGGCTGCGTGGCTGCCGAACAAGCTGAACATTAAGACACATCTACACGGAGAAATAGAGTTTCGCTATTTTTTTTCCTTTTTCTCTTGGTTCATCTAACGAGCAAACAGTGTTAATTAGAGTTTATGTATATTTTATATAGGTAATAATTGTAATAATAATAATAATAATTCGTAATATCAATTCATCCCAACAACAAGTTTATCTCATCTGATAGTATTTTGTTTCTTTTCTCTCTCTCTCTCTCTCTCTCTCTCTCTCTCTCTTTCGTTCTCCTCTTTTTCTTCTCGCCTCCCTTCCCGTCCCTTCCCACGTTCTTCTTCGATCGATACTTTCTTCCTCATTAATATATATCTCTGTTTATTATATATATCTTTATTTATTTGTTTTATATATATATGTATAGACTGATATCAACACGTATAACATCGACGTTTTTTTTCCCCTTGTTAAATCAAGTTTTCGCGGAGAAGGTTGCGCGCCTGCTAGCCTACAATCTCTCTCGCTCTTATTTTTTTTCTCTTTTAACACGTGACTAATGCAAACAAATTACCGGACCGCGTTGCGAAACTTAACGACGATCCGATCAGTCAATTGTCTTTCATTTAGGTTTCGGCGTTTTATCAGTTGAATGTGAACTACCCTCACGCTTCTTGCCGCACTT